GACTCCCTGGAGCCCTTCTCTTTAAAGAGTACACACAAGCGGTACTCCGTTCTTTTCTAGTTCTCTTCTTAGTCAAGGGAAACCTACTTGTGTGCCTTTACTCTTGATAGAGGATAGAAACAGATATATACATTTGCATGTATACAAATTTACAGAAAAAATGCATTAAGAATTTGTTCCCAGGGAATAGCAATGTGTGGAAGAGATAATTTCTTTATGACATTGGTATAATTACCCCCAGCCAGAGCTCACTCGGCAGTTCACAAGACAAAACAAAAACAGAATATTAAACACTAAAGCTTAATATCAAAACCATAAGCTTAAAGCAAAATGAACTCAAAGTGTAAACCAAGATAAAGGCCAGCAGCAGTGCAAAAATCTAAAATATACTAACAATTTTTAAAATGAGAAGGGAATGCAAGGAATTTTTTAAAAGTTACGCAGACTAAGTAACAGCAGGAATTTACTCAGGATTTTCTTTAAACTCATTCATAACAAAGGACTTATATTTGCGTTATAACTTCCCAAGTGTTAGTCAATGAAACAAAGTTCAGAGTCTTCATTTGAATGGGACTGTATGACTGACATCTTGAACTGGCAACAATCTTGCTGATTTGCAATGAATTTGGGACCTCTGCCTGAGGTCTGTGATCAGAGATAATTTCTTAAATATTTTCAGCTTAGCATATTTTACATTTAATGCCCTGTGGTTCTGTTTATGATGTGATGAGAAAGTCACAACATTTTCTGGTGTGTGAACTGTAACTTAAAAGCTAATGCTTTGGGGGCTGTTTAATAAGCATCTTAGAAAAACAGTTTTGAAAAAGTAAATAATATAAAAAGAACTTATCAAGCATGTATCCCTCATTCAGAATACTTGCAGTTTTTCTACTGGATGTAGCTATTTGTACAGCTGGAAGATTTCAAGCTCTAGAAGTTGCACAGCTCCATTTGCTGACCTTCTGACATCAATCAACTGTGAATAGGTTGTGGCAAGGAAAAAATTGGAGTAGAATTCCAACTGAGTATAGACTAATTTACAGCTCTGGTTACTGCTGTATACAGAACTACAATATATTTAAAATATATATTTCTTGATGTATTTTCAGATTAGATTCAATAGATAGAAACTGTTTGTGGTTTCAATTGTTTGCCCTTGATTATAAGTTGCAGGATGTTAAAGTCTGTATAAGGTATGATTTGGTCCAGTTGCTTGGTGAACTGGATGTAAGTCTGGCCACCATAGGAAGAGTATTCTGGTACATGTTGATGATAATGTTCATTTTAACTCTGTTGCGGTGCGATATCAAAAAGTTGGATCTGCTGGCCAAATTTTGTTGGAAGTAATAGCATAGTGTTAATTACACTTAAAGTAAAATGTCTGTATGTGGTACAATCACTTCTCTTCAATTAGTAAATCATTTTATTGAATAAGGGTGTCCTTTTGCCAATTTTCAATTTATCTTGAAAGACCTAGCAATATGCCATTATCATTAAAACAAGACATGTTGCAGATGCCATTGTTTAACTGCCTTTTGTTCTTGTTGCTTCTGCACCAAAATCTATCTATCTATCT